GCTTGGGAATCTTCTTACATGTGGTATTTCTAACTAGGTAGCATAATTGCTGTTACGTTATTATTATCAATTTCTATTCATAGGCTAGATTGACTCTAGAAGCAGCTTATAGTCCAATTCATACATAACAACATATTGCCTTTCAGAATATATATACTCATACATATACACAAGTATGTATATATATTTTTAATTTCACATCCCATCATAAATTAAAATCAGCCATGGTTCAATTTACACAACTTGCTTGATACCTTGCCAGCAAATGTCTTAATAATAGTCTAGATATTTTGCAACGCAGTGATTCCTCTAAGGGAGAGTCTGTATTACTTTACTGTCATTCAGACCATTGAACAAGGTGGTGACTTCTTTGAGCTGCAGCATACTTTGTTCTAATCCCTCTGAAAGACAGGCAATCCTTACTAAGATCAAACCTTCAAGATAATGTGAAACTATCTTTCTCTCTGGGCTGTATTAAAATATTTGATTGAAAATTTATCTGAAACTTTTAATGGATATTAATGTTCTTTTACATGGTATGGTGGATAGGATATGGACAGGATGCACTGTGCTTTCTGGGAAACGTTCCAAGCACTGCCTTAAGGGGACCACTATGAGGAATTTTCTTGCTTGGCTCAGTGACAAATGGCATGCCTACTTAATCAAGACTAGGTGTAATACGGTTGCTGCCCTTTAAGAAAACCATAATAGAAGACAAAAAGAGATAAGTAGTAGATGTGGTTAGAGGGATAAAGAAGCTTGTAGATGAGGTGAGATGGCAAATGAGAACATTTCATCCAGAAAGGCTAAAAGTTGAGGGTTAAATCCTATTTCATGAAAATGATCGCAGTAGAAAGGCTTGGAAAGCAGATGCTCTGAAGTCCAAGTTAGAGTGCCTCATCTTTCTATTTGGACAGCCTGAATAAGAAATTTGCTTACCAGCTTTGCTACTTACCAACTACACTAATTTTGACCAAGTTACTTAACCTTATTAAGTTCTCGTTTCCTTAGCATCTAGGAGGATATCAATTGCATACCTTAGGTAAAGTTTGTTATAGTACTTGGCCCTAATAAACACAACAACAAAACAAGGAAATAAGCAGATGAACACTGAGCTCCAAAATAACAAAACATTTGCAGATTTCTTAAAGTACCTTTCTATTTAACGGGGAGGTAGAGAGTCCTATACAAAGAAAGAAAAGTTGCAGAGCAATCTGGCAAATTCCAAAGTCATGGCAAAAAATCTCAGTCTTCAAGAGAGGTCAGATACCATCAAACAAGTGCTTGCTTGTTCTCTTACCTGGGTCTAGAGGAAGCAATTTATTTATTTATCCATTTCATCTACGTCTCTTTCTGTTTCTCTAATTCTGTGTCAAAATTATTACAATTCATTTTTCTTTAACCTTTCCACCAAAGAAAAATGCCAAAATGGTTGAGCGTTTGCAGCTGAGACGCCTATGAGCTAATGAAGGTCAAGCAGACTAAGGCCCCGGGGAGACACAGCAAAGCTGGCATCGGAAATGAGATCTGGCTTCTCATAATGGTCAGTCTTTGTTTTTTGCTTCCGGAACCAGTTTTCCAGACAACGAAAAGACGATGATAATGAGTAAGGAGTTGAATTGTTGAAACTATAAACACAATCCATTGCCTGCTTGCACTTATTCATGAATATTTAAAAAGACTGGGCCCTCACTAGACACTGAACCTGCGGGTGCCCTGACCCTAGGCTTCTCAGCCTCCAGGACTATGAGAAATAAATGTTACTATTTATGCATTACCCAGACTCAGGAGTTGTGTGATAGTAGTACAAATGGCCTGAGCTGTAACCCCTTCTCTTCTACGCACACAGACACAACCACTGTATTTCATTCTCCTAGATTCTATAAATTGTTCAACACAGTTATATTATTTCCCAGATTATATGACAGAATTTATTGCCTCTAATTTCAAATAACTCCTAAACACATTTTACTTTCATGAGGTATTTTAGAAATACCAGATACATTAAAAATATTTACACATGGAGAATTAGTTGTTGCTAATTTAAAAAATAACTTGTATATACATTTGGGAGCCCTATTCTCAAGTAAACATTGTATTTAACTGCTTCCTCACTATCAATCATTACCAAAATGTAAAGCATGGCCAGAGAGAAATAAGGTTAATATTTTAGAGGGGTTCTTACCTGGAATTTAAAACTCTGGAACCTATGATTTTGAAAATCAGTAAAATTATTTTAGTCATTATATTGAACTTATATAAATGGTGGGACATAATTGTAGGGAGATTTAATTTTTGCCTCCTATTAAAATTTATTCATAGGCCGGGCACAGTGGCTCAAGCCTGTAATCCCAGCACTTTGGGAGGCCGAGGCGGGTGGATCATGAGGTCAAGAGATCGAGACCATCCTGGTCAAAATGGTGAAACCCCGTCTCTACTAAAAATACAAAAAACTAGCTGGGCATGGTTGCACGTACCTGTAATCCCAGCTACTTAGGAGGCTGAGGCAGGAGAATTGCCTGAACCCAGGAGGCAGAGGTTGCAGTGAACCGAGATTGTGCCATTGCACTCCAGCCTGGGTAACAAGTGAAACTCCATCACAAAAAAAAAAAAAAAAAATATTCATAGGCCAAGTTTTACTTCTGTTCCTAGATGTAAATGTTCTGAAAATATTTAGGTAACATGAAGCCTGAAGCCCCATGATCAGTAATTTAAATATCCAGGTTATATGATATTTGAGACTTTTAATTGATACTAAGATTCCTGCCTTTCCCAACACAGGCTCAATTAATGGGAGAAAAGCCTGAAGTCGCAGACTGAGCATGGATGTGGCTGATTTCTTCTCTATGTTGTCACATAGTCTTCTATTCCTCTTATTCTGTCTATCCCTAGTTCTGACTCTTCTTTGCTGCATCATGGTTAGGGAAAATAGGTAAGAAGGAGAATAACTTGCACTTGATGGTTACTGTCTTGAGTTGACACCATCCTCTTTGGATCTGGCAGACATTTGAAATTGATTTTTTAATGATGATTTTAATGTGTTACTTGGTGACCCACCCCTGCCCTTTTGCTCTCCTATAAATCTGCCTTGATGAGAGTGATGGCATATTGCTGACACATTCCTTACTCCTTTTTCAGTTCCTAAGCATTCAGAAGTACTTTCAGATTCCCTCTAGTAAGCTGTTTACTCCTGCAGGCAACGCTTTTGCACAGGATCTTATATATCTTCAAGGCTTTCTTGTTGACATCTTTGTATATATGATCAACATTTGTTCTCATGCTTTTTCAGATGAAATTTAGATAGCAGCCTTCAGAGTCTCTTCTATTTAACCATCATAACCCTATCTTTAGTCTTGTGATGAGGTACAGGATCTTTCTGCAATTCTCTTCCCCATGGAGTTGGAGATAGTAAGTCACAGCCCACTGACAGTTTGCTCAAAAATCTAATAATCATCTTAAAGCTACTCTCTATAAAATTGAGGGACAGGATGCAATACCACCCACAACTTCACTTAAGAGTGAGACTCATAGTAAAACTCTGTTCCCCCACAAAAAAAAATCTCTTCACAACTCTTCTCTGGTGGATTTTTGCATTTATTGTGTTAAGAGGTTATGAACAACCACTGATGACCACCTCCATTGTAAATGCGTACCCCCTTTTCAAAATACTATCCACTGTGTCTTGGTTCCCTGGCAGAAACTTTCAACATTCTGTTATTTACGTAAGAATAGACAGGTGTAGTCTCAACAATGATTTTATAAAAATTTAAAAAGGTTCTTTATTCTTTCATTCAGTAAGTGTTTAGAAACTTATAGGCCAAGTATTATTTTGGCCTCAAATAAAATGAAATAGTGAACAAGTTATATAATGCCCTTCCATTCATGAAGTTTTCATTATTTTGATGGCAGGAATACAGTTTTAAAAGGAAACAAATAAACACATAATGCAATTTCAGGGAAAGGAAATAAAAGTGATAGTGTGCAGGTAAGTAGGAAGACTTTTTAGGGAAATTTGTGAAGAAAGATGTGTGAAAAAGTAGCATTTGTACAGAAGTGATTCAAATTAATTTAGAATGATTAAAACAACATTATGGAATAAAATATATGTATTTTAATATAAATAAGCACATCTGAAGAACTATGAATAATAGGCAATGGGATTTTCATATATATTTCTTGCTCTTCCTTCCTTAGGAAGTGGGAAGAATCTCTCACCTTTTCTGAGGAGGATTTCTTAATCTGGTACAATCAGGTTCCTCATCTTTCTCTTCCGTGGGTCCCACACAGCTGGCCTACACTGGGATGTCTGTGACCTTCTATAAGGGCTCTTATTGCATTTTTAGACTATTCTTAGTCTCTGCTAATGAGATCCCTCAGAGTTCGCTTTGAGTATCACATCTTAATCACTTGATTTCTGCAGACATTTCCTTTCTCCAAATAAACTCTTCAAAATGCCTGCTGCTCTGTGCTCATTAACCTGGGAATGGCTTCGCTAACTCCAATTTGAAAATTATCTTCGACATCTGAAACTTCTGTCCTGATAAGGATTCTCCAAGCAGTGAACAATGAAAAGAATATTTTAGACTCTTTGGGGTATTAAAAAAAAAATTAACGACCAAATTTTCATCTGCAAAAGGATTTTCCCTATATGTAGAAATGTGCACTTTGCTTTCTTGCAGTGTAGTATAATTACAGTCCATCCCCAACTCCACTATCTGCCCAGTTCCCACTTAATCATCTCAAGCTCAATAAGATTTCGATGATTTAAAGATAGAATATTAATGAGTGAATAAAGAAATGAATATTAATCAACTAGGAAATTTTTGTTTCATTTTGTTTTGTTTTTCTGAAACTCTTTTCCTACTCTTAATCCACAATTGATTTGATATGAGTGTCACGATGAAGAGAGTAGCATTCATTTAAACAAACCCAACATAAGACTAGAATCAAATGTCAGTTTAAACATCTGCAACATTTTTTCATTTGTTGTTGGATATTAGGTTGGAGACCTGTATTCCTAAAGAGTTGGCACTTTGATGGATCACATTAAAAATCTTCCCAATGTACAAATGTTCTAATCCAGAGCCAGAGAGCAACAGCCCCTCTCTTTATCCTTGCCAAATTTCACATGCCAGGGAATCTATTTTTTTGGTAAGTATGTTTGAAGCTCTATTAATGCTATTTTAAAGTAAACTTTTGGTTTTAGAATACCAAATTCTAAAATGTCCCTTGTTGTTAGGGACAAAAGGCTAAACTGCATACCATAATTGTTAAACTGAAACTATAGTCAACGATTAATGTAATTTTTAATTTTTTTTCCATAAGTTATTGAGGTACAGGTGGTATTTGGTTACATTAGAAAGTTCTTTAGTGGTAATTTCTGAGATTTTGGTGCACCCATCAAATTGTTTTTTTTTTATTACTGATTTGAGTTTGTTGTCGATTCTGGATATTAGTCATTGTCAGATGCATGGATTGTGAAGGTTTTCTCCCACTCTGTGGGTTGTCTGCATACTCTGCTGACTGTTCCTTTCGCTATGCAAAAGCTCTTTAGTTTAACTTGAGCAGTATTCGCCACACCCTATTTATAGTCTTTTATCCTTCACCCTCACTTCCACTCTTCCCCCAAATCCCCAAAGTCCATTGGATCATTCTTATGCCTTTGTGTTCTCATAGCTTAGCCCCCACATATCAGTGAGAACATATGATGTATGCTTTTACTTTCCTGAGTTACCTCACTTAGCATAATAGTCTCCACTCTCATCCAGGTCACTGCAAATGCTGTTAATTCATTCCTTTTTATGGCTGCATAGTATTCCATATATATATATATGGAATATATATATACATGGAATATATATATATATATGGAATATATATATACATGGAATATATATATATGGAATATATATATACATGGAATATATATATATGGAATATATATATACATGGAATATATATATATGGAATATATATATACATGGAATATATATATACATGGAATATATATATACATGGAATATATATATACATGGAATATATATATACATGGAATATATATATGGAATATATATATACATGTAATACATATATATATGGAATATATATATACATGGAATATATATATATATATGGAATATATATCACTTTATCCACTTGTTGATTGATGAGCATTTGGGTTGATTCCACGATTTTGCAATTGCAAATTGTGCACTATAAACATGTGTATGCAAGTACCTTTTTCAAATAATGACTTATTTTCCTTTGGGTAGATACCCAGTAGTGAAATTGCTGGATCAAATGGTAGTTCATCTGTAGTTGTTTAAGGAATCTCCACACTGTTTTCCATAGTGGCTGTACTAGTTCACATTCTGACCACCAATGTAGAACTGTTCCCTGTTCACTGCATCCATACCAACATCTACTGTTTTTTGATTTTTTGACTATGGCCATTGTTGCAGGAGAAAGGTGCTATTACATTGTGGTTCTGATTTGCATTTCCCATAATTCATGATGATAAGCATTTTTTCATGTGTTTATTGGCCACTTGTGTATCTCCTTTTGAAAACTGCCTATTCATGTCCTTAGCTGACTTTTTGATGGGATCGTTTGTTTTTTTTCTTAGTGATTTGTCTGAGTTGGTTGTAGATTCTGGATATTAATCCTTTGTCAGATGTATAGATTGAGAAGATTTTCTCCCACTCTTTGGGTTGTCTGTTTATTCTGCTGACTGTTTCTTTTGCTGTGCAAAAGCTCTTTACTTTAATTAGGTCCCACCTATTTATCTTTGTTTTTATTGCATTTGTTTTTGGGTTCTTGGTCATGAAATCCTTGATGAAGCCAATGTCTAGAAGGTTTTTCCCAACATTATCTTTTGGAATTTTTATAGTTTCAGGTCTTTAAGTCTTTAATCTATCTTGAGTTGATTTTTGTATAAGGTGAGAGATGAGGATCCAGTTTCATTGAATTACCCCAGCACCATTTGTTAAAAAGGGTGTCCTTTCCCCACTTTGTGTTTTTGTTTGCTTTGTGAAAGATCAGTTGCCTGTAAGTATTTGGGTGTATTTCTGGGTTCTCTATTCTGTTCCATTGGCCTATGTTCCCATCTTTATACCAGCACCTCCCTGTTTTGGTGACTATGGCCTTATAGTATAATTTGAAATAAGGTAGTGTGATGCCTCCAGTTTTTTCCCTTTTCTTAGTCTTGCTTTGGCTATCCAAGCTCTTTTTTCATTCCATATAAAAAGTTTTAGAATTTGTTTTTCTAATTCTTGAAGAATGATATGGTATTGTGATGGGGACTGTGTTGAATTCGTAGATTGCTTTTTGCAGTATGCATATTTTCACAATATTCATTCTACCCATCCACAAGCATGGGACATATTTCTATTTGTCTGTGTCATCTATGATTCCTTTCAGCAATGTTTTGTAGTTTTACTGATAGTGGTCTTTTGACTCCTTGCTTAGGTATATTCCTAAGTATTTTATTATTTTTGCAGCTATTGTAAAAGGGGTTGAGTTCTTGATTTCTCTGCTCGGTTGCTGTTGGTGTATAGAAGAGTTACTGATTTGTACATATTAATCTTGTATCCAGAAACTTTGCTGAATTCCTTTATCATATCTAGGAGCTTTCTGGATGAGTCCTCAGGGTTTTCATGGTAAAAGATCATATCCTCAGCAAACAGTGACAGTTTGATTTCTTCTTTACCATCTGGATGCCCTTTATTTCTTTCTCTTGTCTGATTGATCTGGCTAGGACTTCCAGTACTATGTTGAAGAGGAGTGGTGAGAGTGGGGCATCCTTGTCTTGTTCCAGTTTTCAGAGAATGCTTTCAACTTTTCTCCATTCAGTATTATGTTGGCTGTGGGTTCGTCATAGATGGCTTTTATTATATTCAGGTATCTCCCTTGTATGCTAATTTTGCTGAAAGTTTTAATCACAAAGCAATGCTAGATTTTGTTGAATGCTTTTTCTGCATGTATTGAGGTGGTTGTTTTTTGTATTTAATGCTGTTTATGTGGTATATCACACTGATTAACTTGTGTATGTTAAATCAGCCCTGCATCCATGGTAAATCCACTTAATCATGGTGGATTATCTTTTTGATATGTTGTTGGATTCAGTTAGTATTTTGTTAAGGATTTTAGCATCTATGTTCATGAAGCATATAAGTCCGTAGTTTTCTTTCTTGGTTGTGTCCTTTTCTAGTTTTGGGATGCTGGCTTCACAGATTGAGCTGGGGAGGGTTCCCTCTTTCTCTATCTTGTGGAATAGGGTCAAAAGGATTGGTATCAATTCTTCTTTGAATGTCTAGTAGAATTCTGCTGTGAATCTGTCTGGTCCTGGACCTCTTTTTGTTGGTAATATTTTAATTACCATTTCAATCTTGCTGCTTGTTACGGATACGGAAGCTGCTGGCTTCAGTGTATCTGATTCTTCCTGATTTAAGCTAAGAGGGTTATATTTTTCCAGGAATTCATCCATCTCTTCTAGGTTTTCTAGTTGATTTGCATAAAGCTTTTCATAGTAGCCTTAAATGATCTTTTGTATTTCAGTGGTGTCAGCTGTAATATCTCCTGTTTTGTTTTAGTGAAGTTATGTGGATTTTCTCTCTTTTCTTGGTTAATCTTGCTAATGTTCTATGAATTTTATGTATCTTTTCAAAGAACCAGCTTTTTGTTTATCTTTTGTATTTTTAAAAATTTCAATTTCATTTAGTTCTGCTCTGACCTTGGTTATTTCCTTTCTCTATTGGGTTTGGATTTTGTTTGTTCTTGTTATTCTAGTTTCTTGATGTGTGACCACAGATTGTCTGTTTGTATTTGTCCAGAGTTTTTGATGTGGGCATTTAGGGCTATGAACTTGCCTCTTAGTACCACCTTTGCTGTATTCCAGAGGTTTTGACAGGTTGTGTCATTACTGTCATACAATTCAAAGAATTTTTAATTTTCATTTTAGGTTTGTTCTTGACCCAATGCTCATTCAGGAACAGATTAATTAATTTCCTTGTATTTGCATGGTTTTGAAGGTTCCTTTTGGAGTTGATTTCCAGTTTTATACCACTGTGGTCTGAGAGAGTGCTTGATACAATTTCAATTTTCTTCAATTTATTGAGGCTCATTTTATGGCCTATCATAAGGTCTATCTTGGAGAAAGATCCATGTGCTGTTGAATAGATTATGTATTCTGCAGTTGTTGGATGAAATGTTCTATATATATCTGCTAAGTCCATTTGTTCCAAGGTATAGTTTAATTCCACTGTTTCTTTGTTGATCTATCTTGATGACCTAAGTGCTGTCAGTGGAGTACTGAAGTCTCCCACTATTATGGTGTTACTGTCTATCTCATATCTTAGGTCTATTAGTAATTGTTTTACAAATTTGGGAGCACCAGTGTTAGGAGCATGTATATTTAGGATTGTGATATTTTCCTGTTGGACAAGGCCTTTTTACCATTATGTAATGTCCCTCCTTTGTCTCTTTTAACCACTACTGCTTTAAAATTTGTTTTGTCTGATATAAGACTAGCTACCCCTGCACACTCTTGGTGTATATTTGCCTTTGTTCTGCCCCTTTACTTTAAAGTTATGTGAGTCCTTATGTGTTAGGTGAGTCTCCTGAAGGCAGTAAATAGTTGAGTTGGAAGGGTGAGTTCTTAGTCATTCGACAGTTCTGTATCTTTTAAGTGGAGCATTTAGGCCATTTACATTTAATGTTAGTATTGAAATGTGATGTACTGTTGTATTCATTGTGTTCTTTGTTTCCTGTGTACTTTTTGTTTTGCTTTTTAGCTTGTATTTTTGTTTTATAGGACCTGTGTGATTTATGCTTTAAAAAGGTTCTGTTTTGATGTGTTTCCAGGATTCACTACAAGATTTAGAGCTCCTTTTAGCAGTTCTCATAGTGGTCGCTTGGTAATAGTGAATTCTCTCAGCATTTGTCAAAAACAGATGTGTCTTTCCTTTGGATATGATGCTTAGTTTTGCTGGATACAAAATTCTTGGCTGATAATTGTTTTAAGGAGGCTAAAGCTAGGGCCCTGGTCTCTTCTAGCTTATAAGATTTCTGCTGAGAAATCTGCTGTTAATCTGATAGGTTTTCCTTTATAGGTTACCTATTGCTTCTGTGCCACAGCTCTTAAGATTCTTTCC